CACCTATGACTAGCAACCAGCTGCATCCATCATATGGATGGGTATACAGCACACCAATCTATCCGGTTATCATGATGTCCCTCTCGAGTAACCTATGACCGGGATTATTTAGGATATGTGTTTAAAGATGAATCGATCTCATTATCGTGATCTCATCACGATCCGATTCCCATTGCACAAATCTAAGGACATCACAATATATATATGTGCAATTGTTATAAAGTGATATACGCCAAAATATAATAAGCAAAAAGATTCTGTATCAAGTCACACGTGTCATCACTCACATGATTGGTTTGCTGGGCACCTATGACTAGCACATTAAACTAAGTCTATCAAATCTTTCCCAAGCCTTCATTTCATTAATTTGTTCACGATACTTTCATTAGTCAAGTCTGCCAACTTTTCAACAAGCAATGCTAAATCAAGATCTAATACACCCAGTGTAAATTGCACATACTCTAACTATTCTCAATAATTTGATCTAGAGAGTACAGGAACACTAGAAGCATATGAATGTATGGACGAAAGTACCACTGTAAAATATAAAATAATATTAATACTTTGAGTTTGTCAAAAATTTGATGAACGATATCATCAATATTACACCTTTGAGTAAAATATTAGAATATTCACTCAAAATCATCTATGGAGGACTGATACCATCCTTTATAGAATAGTTTTGTTACCTTTAGATATACTATCCTAAACTACAAGGATATCTAAAACAATATCATCCTACCCCATCACATAATTATTTGAAGTAGATTCTCCTTTGGGATTATCTAAATCTCCTAATTATATGTGTCATTATAAATATTATTTTCTTAATTTAATTTAGGACTAATTTCTTAATATTATTTTATAAGTTGTTGGTCTAGGTCACTTTGATGGCTACAAGACCAATATAATAATATAAAATATAATTTAAAATATCTTATAAATGATAAAACTTTTATTATAATTTATATCACAAAAGCCTATCATCCTAGGCTATTTTGACAACTACAAGTCAGATAAAACTTAGAGAGATGAGTTACAAATAATATTTATTAAAATTTTTTAATTTAATTTATGCTAAGCAGTTCAATAGTAGAATAACAAACATAATAATCATTGAACATTAATCAGCAAAAGAAAAACTCATATGATAATCATGATAATTATTTCACAATGATAATTATTTCATAATTTCAAATATATATACATGTGAATAACCAAATGAATATTCAAGAACAATAATTGGATTTTATTTACCACATGTAAAAAATATAATCAATAATTCATATTAGAAAACTATAAAACTAAACTATAATTTATATTTTTTTAATCAATGATTAATTCCAATCAAGTACTCAAAATATAATCATGATTAAATTCAATCATAATTACAATGAATCATATTTATCAATTTTACAATTGAAAATATAAATTAGAATTCTCAATTTCATAAGGGTAAAATTATAAATATTTGATAGGACATAAATTAGAATTACGAAATTTGTAAAGGGCAGAACTATAATTTGACAAAACTAGCCTCGAGGGCAAAACCATAAATATATCAAATCCCTAATTTGCGTGCGGCGCTGCTACTGCCCGCGAATGGCCCTACTGCTGCTACCGCGGGGCTACGTTTGCCTGTGCATGCCACTGCCATCGTGGGGCCGCCTTTGCTCACACGCGTCCGCTACGATGGTTCCTGTCGTGCGTGGCCGTCGCTGGTGCACGACCTACCCGTGCACAACCGCCACTAATGCACGGCTCCTACCCACGTGCGGCCAACCCGCACGTAGCTGCCACTTATATGCGGCTCCTGCATGCACGCGACCGTCGCTTGGACGCGAGTTCTACCGCGCCTACTACACTGCGGCGCACAAGCTACCCAACGCAGCAGAATCTTGGTTGTACACAATAATGTCGACGGTGACCATTACTGCTTCACGATCATTAGAGAATAGGTATCATTCATGCATCATGATTAATGGAGAATAGGTATCATTCATGTATCGTAAATAAAATAATAAATCTAATGTATTTGATCTCAAAAACATAAGCTCTGATACCAAATAATCTTTTATGTCATGATTAAAATTAAATAATTAGATCTGGTTTAATGATGTGTACCTTTTGATGTCATTTGAAAAGAGATCTCGATCTACAAAGATATCGTCTTTAATCTAAGATCACTATCGTCTTCACTATTAAATTAGATCCTTTCCCAATAGGTCCTATCTATTTATAGATGAGAGCAAAGGGTCTAGGATAAGTAATTAGGAAAGTTCCTCCTAATTATTTTTTTTAAGTGAATTTTATTTTTCTATTGACCAATATATTTTTATAAAGAGTCATAAAATCTAACAAATTTATCTAGTTTTTTTTTTTTTTTGGAAGGAACCAAAGTCAAGTCAATGGCGACAAGATAATTTTGATCAGTGATTTGCCATTGCAAAAGTAATCAATGCTAAATTTAAAATGGGGATGGCTATAAGGATCACTTACTGCCTGAAATCTCTGTCCGGTCCTTTAATCGCAATGACATTCTATAAGAAATTACTTGCATGTTGGTTGTTATTGTTTCTGCGATCCACATTAGGTAATCTTGTAGTTCTAACATGCAGGTAGAGAGCATAGTTCTGAGTATAATTTCTATGCTGTCAAGTCCAAATGATGAATCTCCGGCAAATGTTGAAGCTGCTGTAAGTGAAATTGGTGGTGTATTTTACTGCTATGTGCATGACATGATGATATGCTCTATTCTCTTCAGATGAGCTCTATTTATATTCGAATCAGATGTGAGCCTCAGAAAATGTCTGCATAAAAAAAGACTAGCCAATCTTTTCGTGATGTTTTTGACTATGGCCTTATGCAACTCAGTAAAGATCTTCACTAAGTTCCAAGAGATCATGAAGATGTTATCATCGTGGGTCTCATAAAATTTGTTCAAACAAACAGTTGTTTGTTTGAACAAATTTGTGTTGGGTAGGAGGGGCCTTCTATGTGTGTGTGTACATTGGACATCAGATGGGAACTGAACAAATAGGTAAGATCTAGATAGCTTTTCTTGGTTTCGAGAAGTGCTCCTTTCTTGTTCTAGGGCTAGGGCTTGGTTTGTGTACTTGTTAGATGATTTTCTATCAAGTTATAATCAAGCGTTCAACTTTGTTCCCTCCCCCAAAATAAATTTTCATTGTAGGAAAGTTTGAAAATTCTTCCGTGGTTGGATGTAATTTAGTCTTAAGTTGTACCATTAAATTTGCTAAAAGATTTGATTATTCGTTTAGAAAAGAGCTCTATCTCTCTTTCTCTTTGTTGGTGAATATTTCTTGGTGGTATCCGTTATGTGTGATAGAAGATAAGATTTTTCTTTCTAATTTGTATAAATAGGAAAGGAACATGTTAATGTATTGTAGTATTTTTATTTTTCAAGAAAAATCCTCTATCGGTTGAGGAAAATTCTTTCTCCTAATTTATATAAATAGAAAAAAAATATGTTAACGTATTGAAGTATTTTCATTTCTTCAATAAAACCTATTTTACAGAGGAAAAAAATTAAAATATTACAAATCGTTTAGCCACATTGTCATGCACGAGGCAGTGGTGGCCGATATCTGTAATTTGCTTCTTTTCTGAGTTGTAATGTAATCAATCTCTTGCAGCCTACGTGGATTTTCCGATTTATCATGGCTTGTTTTTGTGGCCAAAAGCTGTAAATGATGTCGTTTTGTAGGGTCTTATGTGATTTTGGGAGAGACCTCTCAGTGCTGTAATCCTCATCTCTTCGTGGAATGTTTAGTATTCCCATTTTTTTATGAATTTAACCTCTTATTTCACGGATTTGTGATCTAAAAACTCATTCGTAAGTAAGTTAGTTACATTTATTTTGAATTACGTGACACGGATGTCTAAAATCTTTTCCACATGCTCTAATTTCTTGCCTTAACTCGAGAGATTAGATAATGTAACCTATACCCTATAAAACAACTCCGGATGTGTAATTATTTTATCTTCAACAGCAAAACTAAGTGTTCTCATTCGCAACCGAAACACGAAAATTACGATAAATATATATATTCGACAATAAACTAATAATAACGACACCAACATAACAAGATCAAATTTTTAGAGGGTTTAAATGAAAAATTACTGAAGAACCTGCGAGGTTTCTTCGAGCAGCGGTATTCGATCGTCGAGCGCTCGCGGACTTGGCGATTCCGAAACCAACGAAGAAGCAATCTAAGGGATGTAAAGAGGAGGAAACAAGAGAGAGAAGGCCAAACTTTGGAACAAAGTTGGTGACCCAACCGGGCTGCTCCGATCTCGATGAACTGCGCCTCCGAACCAACTCGTGCCGGAAATGCTGCGCAATGGGCTTTTCGGGAAAGGAGGCGTTCTTAGAGTCTTCTTTGAAAAGAAGACGTGATTTGAAAAATCCAAACAAATAGAGACCTTTTCCGAAAATTCACCATTCATCGAGTGCTTATAAGCAAATCTTCAAATCCGGACAGAGAAAGCCCAAAGTAATATTTGTTTCGGCAAATCGCCAATAGATAAAAGCCAAAACCAGCTCACATATCCCTAATCTTGCCCGGCCTTTTCCGACCGCTCTCTGCGTTGGGCCACCGTCATCGGCGCCTCGCCGGACCTCAGCTTCTCCGTTGTGAGGGCTCCCCGCCTGTTTCGACCTCCGCGGCAGCGGGCCCGACTCGAACTGGTCCTTCGGTCATCGGCGAGGAGCACAAACTTCCCTGGTCTGGTTCCTTCTTGGTCGCCAACCTTCCCCTCCCATCTGTCCCGATCTTCTGCTCCTTCTCTATAGTTCTTCACCAATTTTGCATCTTTATCGTATTTTTAGTCTCGAAATTCCTTTCTTCCTTCATCCTTTGCTCTTGATTCATTCTAGATACGTGTAATTTGGCTTGATTAAACGTGGACGATTGGAATATGGATGAAAAATTGTTTCTTTCTTTTACTTTTCCTCATAATATGTTCAGTCTTTCCTCGATATCGTTATTCACTCTCTTGGATGATTGCGTTCATTTGTTTCTTTTGTGTTACTGTTCGAATATGGAACTCTAGCCTTTTCCTTCCTGACTATTTCTTGATGTTGTGCTTCTTCGTTCCCTGTGTACTCTGTTACTGTTATGCTAATTAGAATGATAGTTCGATTCGTTTACTTCTTTTGATAATTTGAACAGAGTCAAGCACGGATTCGAGCATATGTGCATTCAGCCTCCGTCTAGGTTTTCATGTCTTTAACAAAACCGGTCATATAGGCAACATAAACCTTTTGCATGTGAAACTGCAAGTAAAAAGTCTAATCTGCTAATGATTTATTTCGTGTGATTAAAATTAATGCTTACTGTCTGAATTCTCTATGAACTCAGTGTTGCTGGTGTTTGACGATTTTAGTTAATTAGTAGTAATTTGCCGTTCTTTTAGCTTATCGAAAATTTTGTTTTTTAAATTTTTTTTATAATTATAACGGAAAATTAAGAAAATCTATAATCATAATAGATGACATATTTTTATTTTAACTATAATCTGCAGTCTGACTAGTTGGCCCACTAGTTGGACTCGTAATATGACCCAAGCCAAGCCTTTGCTTGGTCTTGACTAAGTCGTTTTGGTTATGTCACTAAAAAGGAGGCTGTCCATGATGATAGGTGGCGAAGTGAAAAGTGGGATGGACTAAAGGAAAGATACTCAGATTTCCCACTCAAGTAAAAACTCCCAAGGGATACAAATATCACCATCAAAAGTAGTCTAACTAGTTCTACAGGACTTGGGAACTTGTCACCTTGAACAATCCATCAAAAAGATATAAAATTGTATGAGGACAAAACATTTCATTGAAATTATATATGTATTCATATCATTTTATACTTCTAAGCTTATAAAAACACATTATAGTGGTAGGATTGGAACAACCCTCCAAGCTTGAGTGGTCTTCAAGGTATTATTTCTTCATGATATTCAAGATCAAAATAAATGAAGACTAGTTAAAGTCTCATGAAAACACTAGAGTCACTTAGAAACTCCAAAAAGTGTCATATGTTCTCGAGTAGAGCAACTAACATTACCTCTGTAGAGATAATGAACATAAATTTGTTCAGAAGACTTCAGATTGAACTCAATATGATGTTTTGGATCTGACACAATGAATTCTCTGATAATATATAATTTGCCTCATAAATATCTTGGAATTTATATCAATATTAATATGAAATAAGTTCTAAATTTTGGTTCACCGAAAAACTAAGAGATTAATGTGAATGCTTTGACTTCTCTTAGTTTAAGGCATAAAGACACTCCTCTAGCAACCTTCTTTGGTTGAGAAAGTCTCATTCTCAAGTCCTGACTATTTTTCTGATTAAGATAACTGTGGGAGATCAACAAGATTATAGGATTTTAGAAATAACTTTGAATGGGCTATAATTAGTATCTTGTCTTTTATATGTAAATTCAATTTGAACCAAAATAAGATCCCACAAATGAATATTCTTTTTTACATAATTTCTTAAAAGAACTCTCGAACTTCGATTGACAACTTCAGTTTTACCATCAGCTTGGGGATACAAGAAGGAACTCTAGTGAAGATCGATTCCTAATTTCTCCTTAGAGTACATCAACTTTAAATCTCTATTGGAAACAATGGGTTAAGAAAAACCATGGAGTTTTACTTCTTTGACTTTTTGTAATGTGCTCTTAATGGGTTAGCAGGTCCATTACACAGGGTACATCTCATTATCAGCATGTACATTCGGAGAGATACCATGTTTATTTTACTATCGTATTCTTTTGACTATTTTGTTGAGTCTCTGAATCTTACTGTTTATGAATGCTAATCCCTAACTACTTTTTCCTGTCATTGTTAAGTTGTAGGTTACACTCACCTTGTGTATGAAGCTGTTTTTAGAGGTTAAACTTCCATTGCCTATGATTCCTTAAAAACTTTTATTCACCATAACCATAATAGAATGTTCATCCCTCTGGATTTTGCACAAACCGACAACAAAATCCAGTATAGATTCCTAGTCCTGGTCCATTAGCATGAACTTCCATAATGGTAGATTCTCTTAAAGAGCATTGAGGAGTATAGAGTTGGTTGACCTTGAAAATATTACCATCATAAAGTATGAATTAATCGCTATTGCAACTTTGACACTTTTTCCAAGTTTCCTTGACATCAAGATTATCTTTGTACCACTCTCAGGATTTAATCCTACAATTTTTGCTGGCAATTAAATGCATATGGCATATGTCCTGCTTAGAGAAACAACAATAATATTTTGAACACTGGACTTATCCTTTGTAATAAAATTATAGACTTGCATAAGCTCAATCTACGTAACATGTCACATGATGAATTTTTGTTGATTGATGAGACATGTTAAAGCTTTATGATCATGATAACGCACATATGACTTCAAAAGTAATTACTGATTCTAATAATTTAAAGCTCGATAGGGTGCATAGAATTTCTTGTTGTAAACAGAGCAATTCTTACAAGATTCATTTAACTTTTTGCTAAAATAGACAATTGGTGTACCATCTTGATTAAAGATAGCACTAATTTCCATATCAGGAGCATCATATTCAACTTAGAAGTGATAGAGTATCAGCTTTAGTTATTTTACTTTTGAGAAATACAAAGCTGGTTTGAGCCTTATTTGTCCATTTAAAACCATCTCTTTCAAATATTCAATATTAGAATCATGATGGAGTTGGCTTTTATAAACTATTGATAAATAGAGGCAAGGCTATGAAAACTTCAATATCATGCAATTTCTTAGGTGTAAGTCAATCCACCTTACCAGGCATCTTGATTCCATCTTTAGATAAAACATAACCCAGAAAAATGAGAGTAAGAGTGAAAATTTTGTATTTCTTAAGTTAGTATGTAACTTTTGTTCTTGCAAAGCATTGAAAACATTATGAAGACGTTGCATATGTTGCTCATCATTATTGTTATAAATAAAGTGTCATCAAAATATATGATAGCAAATTTTCTAATGAAGTGTTCAAAAATAGGATTCCTAAGATGCATAAATATACTAGGAGCATTAGAGAGATCAAATTGTATTATTTTTTATCCCTTGTTTTGAATGTTATTTTCATTCAGGTCTCACGTAGATTTGATGATAGCCAAGATAAATCTTGGAGAATATATATTGTCCCATGAAGTTGGTCAAATAGATAATAAGGATGGGGAATATGAAGGTATAGTCAACAGTAGTCTTGTTCACAACTATGCTTTTGACACACTTTTGCCAAGGTCTATCTTTTACAAGTAGAGCTAACATAACATAAGGGTTTAAGCTTTCTCTCACCAAATCCTTAGTCTATCTTTGTAGCTCTACATGCTCCTTCGATCTCATTCTATAAGTTGTTTTGTTTGGTAAAATAACAGGACATATAAGATTAATGCACTATTGAATCTTTCTCATGGGTGGAAATCTAGGATTAATCTCCTCAAGTACAATATTATGGAATTCTTCAAAAGAATACTTTATGATAGGAGTATATCTCCACTATCCTCATTCTCCTCCCAAACTATGATAGCATAGGCTTGACACCTATTTCAACTCCCTTTTGAATCTAAGGAGGGTTTAATCGTTATTTTTCTCTCTTTTTGAAGGTTTAGAAGAAATTTTTGTTACAGAAGGACCTAAAACAATTTTAACCTTCATCCTTGACAAAAGCATAAGTATTTTTAGGCATTATGAGAAGTTACTGTATCAAGGATGCCTAAGTAGGTGACAAGTATTCATAAGAACTAGTGTAGTCAAAGGCGCTAAGGTACCAAAATGCTCGAGGTGCTTGCCCGAGCAAAGTGAAGCACTCCTAAATATTAAAATTTTAAAAATATATATTATGGTTGATAAACATGATTATTAAAATAAAAATGACACATCAAATTATATTTATGTAAGGTATCAATTTACATTGTCTAGATCCAATCACAAAAATAGCAATACTAAACAAGATTAGCAAGTATGCTGCCATGATCATCCATCACTTATCACATCCAGGAAAAAAGAAGTGCAGCGTGAGATTTCCCCTCCCTCTAAGCTTCAGTGGGACAATGCACTCACTACTCTTTAACACTGTAAGCATTCAGGTATTTGCTTGTATTGCATGCATGTATTCTCTGCACTTAATCTTTGGTCTTCTGCAAAAGTGAGAAGATACAATCCATGATTGTGTTCCCTCAAGCACTTGAGAGAGATACAATTCAAGACTAATGTGATGGTATTTTATGTTACCAACAATCAATGGAACTGCTACAGATGTGAGGGATGGCATCATCACCATCACTTCTTCCCTCTCTCCACTTTGTCGAGAGAACGACACAACGGACCAATCGTCAGTGTCATTTAATGTCTCTTGCTTCAATTGTTTCTTGAGCTAAGAGAAAAAGGAAGAAGTTATTGGGGGTTGCGGTGGAAGAGGGGGGAGGAGGTGGCTGTGGTGGAGTAGGAGGCAGGAGAGGGGTGCTGTTGGAGGTTGTGGCAGAGGAGGTGACTATATCGGGAGAGCGATGTTGTTGAGGGCTACGACGAAGGAGGAGGAGGCAGCTATGGCGGAGTAAGATGGGGAGGGGTGCTGTTGGGAGCTGCGGTTGAGGAGTAGGTGGGAGATGGGTGCTATCGGGGGTTGTGGAGGAGGGGAGGGGGGAAGGCCAACTGCAGTGGAGTAGGAGGAGGGAGAGGGGTGTGGCGGAGGAAGCGACAGCAAAGGAGGGAGAGGGGTGCTGCAGCGGAGGAGGAGGTGGCTGCTATGCTTGAGGAGGGAAAGGGCGACGACAAAGGAGGAAGGAGAGAGAGAGAGAGAGATTCTGAGAAAGGGTTTGCTGAAGATCACACTAGCATGAAAGCCTCTCGTTGGAGGAAGACGTCATCACTGTTTGCAGATGGAGGGGAAGACATCGTCATCATTCACCAATGGAGAGCAAATCACCGTCGTATAGTTCATCGACTAAGTCTTCTAAGGGGGACAATGATTTGTGTGTGCAAGGGGAGAAGGGTTGTGGTAGTGATCGAACCAAATCAATGATCGGGCCTATTTATATTAGGTTCGACCTTGGTTCGATTTGCCTCAGGCGGGCGCTTGAGCTGCTTGGCAACTGTGCTCGACTGAAATCGCCCACCTAGACCACTTACCAAGCACTTGGGCCTCACCTCGCGTCGCTCAAGTGCCTTCGTGAGCATTTGGTGACTTCCCTAATAGAACAACATCACACCATTGTTGTTCATGATTGAAGATGAAATAAGACAATGCATGTTAATTATGATTGCAGTATCTTTTTGAAGCCATGAAAGATTGTAAGGTTGAGGATATGTCTTCGTTTTTAGGTTTAATTTATTTATTATCTTAGTAGAGACCACGTTCTTGATCACAAACTTTTTCATGACAAGCGTAATTGCTGTGAAAAGTATGCTTTTTTAATCATTGGAATTTTATTTCAATCTGGATAATATTTATTTAAATCACCATAGTTTGTTCATGATCAACATAGATAATCTCTTCATCTTCTTTTGAAGTGATTGGATAAGAATCTTTTGTTGAAGTTTCCAAATAAGTATAAGATTCCTCATCCACCACATCATCATTTTCTTTCTTAATTGGACTGTCAGTTTTGCTTAGGTCATTCAAAAGCAATATACCCATAGTCATGGCATTTAAAACATCAATGAAAATTCTCGCTAAAAGAAATCAAGGGGTGCTTGGAATTGGTCCCACCATCTCCCTTAGAGATTGTCTTTTTATGTAGTTTTCATAATTTAAGTAGATTTAGAATTAGAGATATTCCTCAAGTAAATGAGGCATCACGATCTATAGATCGAAAGTCATTCCGTGAAACTTATTTTTGTTAACTTTGAGTGCAAGCTGACAAACATCATTATAACTCAATAAGGTTGTAGTTGAACTACCTTATGTATCTTGAGCTCTAGAATAACAAGATACCTTGTTATAGTTTGCCCCTTTGGTCTAATAAGGTCACATTTCTTCATAAGATCAAATTCTGTTATGTAGATCTCTTTATGTTTGACATTTTAAAGTTATGAAACTTGAAAAGAACATTTTGTCTATATTTGTCAAGAAGATATTCATTCTTGAGTTTCTTTGTCAATTTTTCCCATGTCAAGATCCTTTCTTCTACCTTAATATTTTCTTTTTTCCTTTGAGATTTTCGGACCATAAAGAGGCATGCTTCATCGACTTCATAGCAACAAGCTTGACTTTCTAGGAATCATGATCCAAATCACTGTTTCTTTGAGCATGAGAAGGCATGGAATCATCTCTTAAAGGTTGATTTCAATTAAAACAGAAAGGATTAACATTGTCCTTAGCCTAAGAGATATGGCTTGAATCATTATGTTGAAAAGGCTAAAAATGACCCAAACGATGTTGAAATCATTGTAACATTATGATCACATTGGTGATCACAACAATGGTAACCAAGACCCCCTACCAAATTTGATTATGAGTGGGAGAGAAGAGGACTGAAATGGATTAAAGAAAAGATAATCAAGCTCCAAATAGAAATATCTAAGGGATACATATATGATCCTCTGAAGGATTCTAATTGGGGTTCAGTCTTTATGAATCTCTACTGAGTCCAAATGAAAGGTGTTATTTCTAAGTTTCATTTAGCCTGAGTTTTTCCTTTTGCTTTTGATGAGTTACAAGGACTTTGGGTCCATTTCAATGGTGCTATTCTTCTCTGTGAACAATGAAGTGAATACTATTTAGTTATTATTGCTGGCATAGGTAGATCTCTCGCTGACAATATAGCCTCTTTCTGTTTATGTTGTTGTTGTCACACAAATATATTCCCCAATTTACTGTATGCTAGTCTCATTCATATTTTCTTATTATTTCAAAATTATATCTTTGTTGAAGTATGGTCTCTACTTAAAGTGCTTCTTTCAACAGCTTACAAGCACAGGCAACCATGGGTGATATGATAGATTTATCAGGGGATGGTGGTCTTCTGAAAACAATTATTAGGAAAGCCAAAATTGATGCACTTGCACCATCAGAGAGCCTCCCTCTTGTTGATGGTATGATAAATTTTTAATCTGCTTCTGCACTGCAGAAAAGCTTATGTCTTACAGAACGCAACTTCTGTCATTTCTTTCTATATTATATACTCGTAAGTTTAACAATAGCATAGTTGGTTTATTTCATCTCCCATGTATTTTTACAAGATTTATCATAATTGTTTTGAAGAGAACGTCTTGTCTATTTTGAAAAGAAAATGAGGAAATTTTTGTGCTGAGAGAAACTTATTTTGTTACAAGACAAATTTGACTCAGTGTCCATGAAATTGACTGCATCTTTTGCTTGACAGATCTATTAGTCGAGAAATGGTCAATGTAGTTGATATAAGCATTTCTTGATCATGTTTTGAAGTTGTCATTATTTTCTCCTTTTTCCTCTTTTCTGTGACTTGCGTGTTTTAGCAAGTCAAATGTTCTTCGAATTTCATATATAATAACTGGGTTGTAGTTTCATCAAAGTCTGTGATTTTAATTAACAAACAATAAACTCTTGGAACTTGATCAATATTCTTGATGATGAAACCTGTATGAGGTCCATGTCGAAATCTGAAGAACTAGTCGTGATTGAAGAACTGAAGTCTGTTTTGAATTTAGAGATTTTAGGCATCTAGCAATGCTTTTCTGATTGATGGAAATAGCCTTTAGGGTGAGAATAAACTAACCGTTGATGTACTACGTCAGATGGCCTTCTTGACAAAGCAATAGCATCATACTGCTGGTTGTCCTGTCAGAATTTGTGATCATATGGGCTATTCGACTAATTCTGCTAATGAGAGAATAGTGGACTGAGGACCAGGAGGATGCTATTAGGATGACTAAGCATGTTTATTGCTTTTTTTTCCCTTGTTTTCCTCGTCTTTTTGATTGACTTGGCTTCCTGTCTGATCTTGTGGCAGTTCATTACGAAGGCACGCTTGCTGAAACTGGTGAAGTTTTTGATTCAACGCATGAAGATAATACTGTTTTCTCCTTTGAGATCGGAAGTGGCACTGTCATCAAGGCTTGGGATATAGCTCTAAGAACAATGAAGGTGAAGTGTATAATGTCCACTAGTGAGATTCTTCATATTAGTATTTTAAAATATCTGATTACATAACTGTAATTTTGTTCAAGGTTGGGGAGGTTGCAAAAATAACTTGCAAACCAGACTATGCCTATGGAAGTGCTGGTTCGCCACCTGATATACCACCTAAGTAATCCCCATATATTTATCTAGTGGTTCGAGTTTGTAATTGTTAGATTATGATATATACTTAATCAGGAACTTTTGTGAGTGCAGTGCAACTCTTGTCTTTGAGGTGGAGTTGGTGGCATGTAGGCCTCGGAAAGGTGCAAGCCTTAGTAGCGTCTCAGATGAAAAAGCTAGGTTGCTGTAAGTTTAGACATTCAACTTCTGCCGCAATAATCATCTTTATTTATAATTGCTGACATCTTTTTGTGGGTCAAATTTGAGCGACCGTATAACAAAACTAATATGTGCTGCAGGTTCTACTTGTCAACCCTTTTTCATCTTTCTTTTTGTACTTTGACTTGTTAGCATGTCTCTTAAGACAAAAAAAAAGAAGGAAAAACAGATCGACTCTGTGACATATTTCCTTTTATAATTGATCAGATTTTGGTAAATTTTCTTTCGTGGGACATGCTTGTTGCATGCTAGATTTTGGTAAATTATCATCCGGTGGCATGTCATGGCATGCAGAAATTTTACTCTTTAAACATCAGTTGTCCTTAAAGTGTACAATGATGTTTCTCCGGTACTTATTTTGATTCAGGGAACTGAAAAAGCAGAGAGAGATGATTGCAGCTAGCAAGGAAGAAGAGAAAAAGAAGAGAGAAGAAGCAAAAGCTGCAGCAGCTGCTCGAATACAGGCCAAGTTAGAATCAAAGAAGCACCAGGGAAAAGGCAAAGGGAAAGCAAAATAGTCGTTTATGTTTCGCCCCTCGACAGTTCTTTGCTACAATGGTAAAGTTGAATTCGAAACCGAGACACTACTTACCTTGTCTCTGTATAACTCAGAAATATGTGCCTTTGGGTGACTTCATATAAACAGAGAAATTTCTGGTCAGCCGAAAAATAAGAACAGCAATGCGGTCGCCATTCTTCTGAACGACGTTTTATGTCCTCTGAACAAGCATAGTTGCATGTTGATGTATGCATTCATTGTCAAAGCGTAGCGTAGAGACCAATTCTTGCACACAGTGATCCCTACATGGTTGAATGTTTGACATATATATGCACGCGAACCTATGAAGATATCGAAATACCATTTCAAGTGCAGTTTAGGGTCATCGTTTAACCAAAAGTATGGAAACGTTGTGTTTTTTCACTTGGGCATTTTTGGTTATCCGGAACTATTTGAGTTTTCTATCTTCATTTTTTATGGTTGACATTATCAAACATAAAAAATTTTATCGGGTTAATTACATATTATTTTTTATAATTAATTATTTTTAGTATTTTGATATTTTAAAAGTTATATTATAATTCTTATATTTACGAAGTGAAATATTAAAATCTTTATCTTCGATTTTTCATATATATATATATATATATATATATATATATATATATATATATAT